TCCGTCGTTCTCTTAGAGAAGTAGAATATTGGATGGAGTTTTTGATCGGCTTTTCGTTGCAATAACACCGCGCCATATCCTCGAGCACTCGCGTCACAGTGTAGTTCTGTCTCGTCAGTCGGATTGTATATAGATAAAATAGGCCTCGACGTCAGCTTGTCTTTTAGTAGCTCGAATGCTTCTCTCTGTTTGGGACCAAATTGAAAAATCGCGTCTTTCTTAACTAAGTCATATAAAGGTCCAGCAATCAACGAAAAGTCTTTGATAAACTTTCTGAAGTATGACGACAAACCTAAGAAGCTTTGCACTTCTCGAGCACATGTAGGCATTGGAAAGCATTTTACTGCCGTTATTCCTGCGTTGTTTGGCTGTATTCCGTCACCCGAAATCATATAACCTAAGAATTCAATCTTCGTGTACATAAATTTACATTTATTTTGTCGCAGTTCTAGCTTATTTTCTACGAGTATTTTTAAAACATGGTCGAGTACTTCCATGTGTTCTTCAACAGTCTCGGTTGCTATCAGGAAATCGTCTATGTATACCAAAACCAATCCAGTTCTAATTAATGGTTCAAAAATTTCGTTAACATACCGCTGAAATCGTGCAGGTGCATTTTTGAGCCCGAATGGCATCTTTAAGTACTCAAATTGGCCGAAAGGCGTAATAAAGGCGGTATATTTTATACTGTCATCGTGTACATTTACGTGATGGAATCCTTCCTTCAGATCTAATGATGTGAAATAACGTTTTCCTGCTAGCGCCTCGACCTGTTCTTCAATTATCGGTAATGGATAATTTTCTCGCGCCGTAATTTTATTTAACGTACGAAAATCTATACATAACCGCGTGGTTCCGTTTTTCTTTTGCACCAATACGGTTCTTGACGCATACTCGGATACGCTAGGACGGATTATACCTCTCTTTAATAAGTCATCCAGTATCGCACGCAATTTACCTTTCTCACCTACAGTTAGTCTACTAGGCGCATGATGAAACGGTTGTTTATCCTTTATACTCAACTTTAATTCGGCTTTTATCTTTGGCTCTGTAGGCCTCTCCGCTTGCAAGTATTTCGTTTGAAACTTTTCTTTAACTTGACACCTTACCGCGTATGGCAAATCTGGACCTATATCTAACATGTCAATCGCGTTACTTACTGTTTCACTCACATCAATACTTAATATCTCGTTCGCTATATTTTTGGCCTCGCACTCTTGTGGTTGCTTATTCATCGTCAAGCCTAGCTTTTTCAACGCGTCTCTACCTACCAACGCATCACACTTCATTGTACGTTCTGGTACAATACGTAATATCACGTCCTTTGCTATCGCGTTCTCAATACGAATATTTGCTTTTACGATGCCCTGAACTTCTAGCGCGGACCCATTTATGCCTTCGTAATGCTCACTCTTTACTCGCGTTATTAAGCTGGGGGGAATAAATCTCGTCTTAATTAAACTAATTGGACATGCGGTATCTAATTGCAAATCCGCGATAAATTTACACTCCAGTTCGTCCACACTTATTTGCACTTCTGCCCGCTTGCGATATTCGTTATCACACTCACGCGACACAATCACATTGGAGATCTCCCCTTGCGATTCCTTAGGACTCGTCGCTGCCGCTGCCACAGCTGTCGTCTGCTTCTTCTTCTTGCAGTCCCGCACCAGATGATCCGTTGATCCACACTCGTAGCAGGAACCTCGTTCTCTTCTGGCCTTGTCACAATTCTTTGCAATATGTCCCTCCTTATTGCAATTGTAGCATTTGCTTCCTTGTCGTTGCTCTCCCTCCTTGGATTTCGATGGCGGTTTCTCTTCCGTCTTGTCTCTCGATCTTTCTCCGTAGCGCCCTTGCCGATTCTTGTTTTCTGGCCGCAACTTGATCTGCTCAAACGCTCTCATTAAGTCCTCCTTCGTCTTGAAGCGCTGCATTCGTGCTTGATTGCGAAGAGGAGTTTCTGGTATTCCATCGATAACACAATCAATCAATTCGTCGTCGTCGATGGATAGCTTACTCGCCAGTATCACCTTATCGTAATAGTAGTCACTGAAAGGTTCATCGGTACGCCAGTGTCTCTTCTCAAATTTCCGCCGCAGTTCTATTTTCGCCGGACGATAATCGAACATTTTTTCCATACGATCAATCAACTGAGCCACCGGTATCTCCAGGTGTTCTGATTTTGCGTGAAACCATTTCAAAGCTTTCTGTTTCAATCTCATGCCGATTAGGATGCGCGTGTGATTATCGTCTAGGTTATACGTGCCGCGTACGAGTTCTAGTTGTTTTCGCCAGTTACCAAAAGTGTCTTCCGCTCCTGAGAATTCACTGAGCAATTCCCCTAGGGCCGTAATGGAGGGGCGCGGCGTGGCAACAGTACCAACAGCACTATTGTTTCTCGTAATGGCTGCCGGCACATGTCCTGCCGCTCTGTTCCTTTCCATACTTAATTCTTCAAGCTGTCGTCTCATAAGATCGTTTTCACGTTGCATACGTTCGAGGTCTCTGGATAAGCCAGTCACTATGTCTCCGAGTCGATCGTCCTGTCCCACTGCTGCGTCTCCTTCGTCCAGTCGATCGCCCTGTCCCGCTGCCGCGTCTTCTACGTTGTCTGTCCGTTGACCTCTCTCGTTCTCCTCCGCGTCTATTCTCCTCGCGATGTTCTTCCAGGCACCGCTCGGATCGTGTGCGTAGAGTCTTCTTAATAACGTGGCTTTGTCGCCCGTTTGTACTAATTCCAGTCGCCGTAAGGTTGCTTTCAACTGCGTTACCTTAAATTGTTCGTCAGCCATTGTCATACGACTTTCTGACGATGCTGCGCGTAATTTTCTATCTTACGATGTCGACTCACGAACTCACACTTTTCGTCACCTTGACCGATCGTTAGCCCGATAGTCTAATCCCACTTCTGAAAATTGTAG